TTAGTGCAATAGCTTTTCAACTTTTAAGTATTAAATTATAATATATAAATATGTGTATAATATGATATAGTCCGACCTACGGACATAACAATACACTCGCAGAAACTTTAAACCGACCATTTTTTTTTTTATTGTATTCTTCCCTAATAGCATATACTATATCATATACCTAGCTTATATAGAGGATCAGCTATAAACTTCATTTGATAAAAGAAGTATCGGTTACGGTCACCGGCCATTATATTTTGTGCGTGGGCAGGTATTGTATTGGAAACTTTCCTCTCCCATTTGTATTATTTATTTAAATCTGATTTTGTATAAAACGTATTCTTCGATTAACAATCGACCGTTTAAAATAGTGTGTAAGGACTTTTCAAAAACAGTTTAGCCGTCATCGGTTTCGATTTATTCGGTATAATGGTATTGAAAAGTTTTTTACAACAAGTACGTCTTATGGTTACAATGGAATTATGTATTGAATGATAATATTTCTTTGTTGTAATTTTCAAGTCAACGACGAACGAGCTCGCCCGAGTGAAACGGTACAAGATAAACGGTTTAGCAGAGATATATTATTATATTATATTATTATGTACGATAAACGCGATATTTTTTTTAGACAGAAACCGCCGAATTGTAATATTTATATTAGTATAAAGACAAAAATAACGACCACTCTGTTGACATTCTTCAAGAGAGTTAGAGGAGTAGGGAAAAGGCAGCTGTTGTTAATGATTCTGATTTTTATTTCAACTCTTCTATACTCGGATACTTTAAGTTTTATATACGGCTTATTATTATACTTAGACTCGGTGACTTTTCCACTTAGGAGAATTGGTTTGCGGGCCGCGGCAGTATGTCACGTTAACTTTAGAACACTTTAGGTGTCCCATAGGACTGTTCCTTTCGATTTTCCTGTCACATATTTATCACACCAGATATATAATGGATCTATGAATAAATATAAATATATGTATATAATAGGTGGCTGCGGTCGTGCATCCTAGTCGGGCGCCAACTGTCAGATCCGTTTTTATTACCGCCGAAACCGTCGTTTTATCCAAGTTTAATTCGTTTTACGGTGTCGACCGCTGATCCCAGAAACGTTTTATCAAAATATATACATGTATGTATGAAGGAAATAAAAGCATAAATACTGTAGGTAATATTATATAAAGATAGTGAGTTGGCCGTAGACGAGATAGAAAGAGTAAGAATATTTTATACGATGATGTATTATTCAACAGATGACACGGTTCATTCATTCGGTACAAGCGTGATATTACACCCTATATATAATATGTACATTTATGTATTATTTTATTATGCGAAAAAAAATGTAATATAATATATGTAACAGAGAACACATTTTGTAATTATATATATATAGTAGTATCACGATAAATTGCATTGGATTCTGAAAATGACAAATCGTATTCTTCAACAAACTCTGCGTACGTTGTTTCAAATAAGAACAGCGCCATTAATAATTATTATAATTCGTGTAATATTATCATAGTGTTATAACATACAAATGTAGATATGTATTTTTCCACTGTACATGTGTGACCAAAAAGAATGTTTGAAATATTTTGCTAGACAGTAAAAACATCGTAAAAGATTTATTCATGTTACCTTGATATGGAGCTAAGAAGCTATATTGGTTTTATAATACACATTTTTTTTTTGTAACCGAACCTAATAATAACTACTTTATATTCATCGGTTCGATTCCATTGCATATGCTTTGTATATTCCTTTGAATATTGTACAGCGAAGGTGCTTAAAAAGGTGTGTACTATCGTAAAAAAAATTCTTTATCCTATTTATTACTGACGAGAAAAAATGAGTTTTATTGTATATTTGTAAGTAATAATCCGGCTTTTCAAGTATATTTTTCATTTTTTTTTCGATGATCTTTACATAGTTTTGCGTAGAAGCGTTTTTTTCAAAATAATTTAAGAATATTTAAAGCATTTCACAATGTTTAGAAACAAACAAATGAATTAATTTAAATCCTAAGTCATGCTATACTATGGTATCTATCAACCAATATACTTTTTTGTAGATAGGGTCGTGGATTTATCATATTAAAAACAATTCAAGCACACTTAAATGTTTAACAAAATATATTTTTTTTTACTATGTTGAGATATTTCACTCGTTTGAAATATGAAACGTTTCACTGAAATATTGTAAAATTGTGTTTTTCATGAATATTTTAAACACAAAATATACATAATACAATATATAATGAAGTTCTCGTTCACTCACTCGCCAGTCGCGTCATCCCTTTGGTACTTAGGTATTTCTTTTCGAAATTCCAATGCATTTGGGTCAGGAGTGATTAATTGTAGTATATTACATAGGCGTTTATGTTTTACCCGTCAAGCTTAACGCGTGCGTCCATTTTGAAATGTTCGACTGTTTTTTAAGCTAAAAAAAACACCACAAAGCCCGTGAGAAAAAAGCGCGAAAAACACATTAACGAAAGTACACAAAATCGATAACCCACATAGTGTATATGAAACATGTCATTCATTTTGAGTGATTTTATTTTACACTTCAGAATATGTGTATTTTTAGTCCCAATATAACAAATAAAAGACAATAAAAAAAAACTACAATGAAAGTTCCATTTAAACAGGAATATAAAATGTTCAAAACATTTGTATTATTAGTATTTGATTTCTTGTTGAACATTAAAACAATTATCTTACCTAACACAATGTAAAAATATTTTGACATAGTTATAAAATTTAATATTTTAATGAAATATTATTTCTATTCTATTATTGTTGTATGATATTTTCTTCGATGTGAAAATTATAAAAATTGTACATTTATTTAAATCATGAAAAACTAAAATAATTAATCAGATACCAAACGCGTTTCATATATCACATAAAGCTCAAAAGTTGTTCGATGATAATTTATCATTTAACTTCCAAGTTCATAATATTGTTGGCATACATTAAATTTCACTCAACGACTTGTACAAGACTTGTATAATTATTACTATTGTTGTGTTAACTCATCAATTATAGTTAACAAGTTAAAACTTCTTTTCAACTTGATCAAACATAATACGTAGAAGTTTGTGAACTTTAAAAACAATTTTTATACCGCAGAAATAAATTGCATTATATTAAAAAGTAAAATATTAACTGTCATTGTAGTAATTTAACAATGCCCTACCATTTATCTGTTTTTATATTATCTATAAATAACATTATTATTAGATTATATAATTAATAACAATATTTGATATCCGACAGTACAAAATAATTTCCTAGCTAATGTTTATTTGTTTTCTGTAAAGGTAATTCGATTTTCGGCCGGTCAGTTGGTTTTAGCTAAAAGTATGTCAGTAGCCAAAATAAATATCCGAAGACAAATTATAATAATTGTAAAGATCTGTTTGTACAAGTCATAACCAATCGTAGGATATGACGTTAATTAATTGAACAACAATTTAGCAAAAAAAAAAAAAGGAATTTTGTTAAACGACGAAATGATTTGTTGTAATAGTTGACGTTGGCGAATTGGTTAAGGTCATTTTTTCTGTGAACTTTTTTTAGTGTAAGTAATATGTGGTATTCAGTACATCAAAAGACAACATACTATGTTTGGCGATCCGTCAAAACATAATAATGTTATGGTCTGGAATTAAACGAATCCTCAAAATATGTTTTATGATAATCCCTTAAGGCTTAAACGGCAAAACGCATAAAGTGTATAATCCACGATAGTCGGTTCGTTAAATTTTAATTCACCGCAAAGACAAACAATTCATTTGGCGTAGACGAGCAACGCTGTTCTCAGTGTACACAATATTATGTTCAACAATGCCCGCATGTAATTATAATACATGATATTATATAATAATATATGTCACCATAATCGGTGACAAATAGCAATTATTAAAAACTTTTTTGGAACACAATTTTCATGTTTAAAAGTAACACATTCGGGTTAATTTAAAAATGGATTAGTTTGATAGCTTCAATGCGGAGCTGTGCAGTTGCTGGTTTTACAATGACATATTGTTTCCAAGTTTTTTCTTTCCTTGTGTTTGTTTAGAAAAAGGTTCATTGTTAGGCCAAATATGAAAAAAAACATTATCCCTTCTACTTTGAAGCCGTCAAAAACACTATAACACGCTCTAACTTTTTGGAAAATATTCTAATCGCTTCCGAACTTGTGTAGGTTATTTATTATTTAGATTTACATAATACTAAAGATATACAGTGAAAAAAAAATATGTTAACCTTTTCCCCTGGAAGCGGTAAAAATATATTCTTTACTTGACAAAACAAAGAACAATTATTCAGATTTTATTTGGAATAGCATTACTCTTGCGAATAATTTGAATTAAGGTTCCATTGTCGTTTCAAACCTCATTTCTGGCAAAATCGATTTTCCACAACTTTTATCATCTGTTGTCAAGTCGGTCCTTGCTCGTTCCTTTGTCCTTTTCCCAAGCTCGTACTTATTTCCTTAATGATTTTCCATTTAGTGCGCACCGCAAAGGCCGACCCTTGATTGTTCTCTCATTGCTGCTGCTAAGCTTGTAGTTTCCGTTAAGAATGTTTTTTCATGTGCAATATGGACTTACCCCGTTCAACGACAAAATAAATAAATATTCACCAATTTATTTGTTAAGTATAGTTGATAACGGCTGTGTACTGTGCAGTGCTTAAACATCGTGTAAAAAAAATAATTTATTTTTATTTAAAGTGGTCACACTGTCGCTCGGCTTCTTGATTACTTCGTTACTGAGTACAGGGCGTTACAGTTCTGTAGATTTTTACTCTATAGCAATCACCATTACCACCATAGCGGGATAGAAGTTTGTCATCGTTAAGACGTGTCGTTGTTTGTGACGATTTTCACGGATTGACCTCCAGGCAGCAATAAAAACACAAATTCATGTTAATTTTCTGGTCGCCAAAGTGTGTATTATGAAAACTGATGGCATTTTTTTTTTTTTTTTACAGCAAGCAAATAACGCCGGACGACGATGACCCGTTACAAAATGCAACTGACAAGACAATGACTGCTGCGGAGACACTTACAGCAGACGGTCGACGACAATCGGCTGTGGTGGTTTTAGGTGCTGACTGCGATGACGGCGACCGCGGCGAGGACGACCGAGGCGGTATTGTTTTTGCTAACGCCGACAGGTGTGTACTATTACATAGGCCAGCGAATTTACATAGGTATCATGAAATTACTTATTACACACTATCATCATAGCACGAGGGGGCGGTGTGTATGTATGTGTGTGTGTGGGTATTATACCGGTGGCCGTCGCAGGCAGGTAAATACGGTTTGTTAACGCCACGGCGTGTGTACATCGAACAGAGTGTCATTGTTTTTTTTCCACCGAGTACGGAATAGTAATACAAGTAGTAACGCGTTAGGCGGTTTTTATTTTATTTGATTTTTTTTTACTAGCAAGTCTCTTTTTGTTTAATGCTTAACACAGTTCTGTTTCGTTCAGCTCGTTGACCGGATACATGACCACCGACAACGATGGAGAGTCCGCGGGGTCCTCTTCCTGTAGCGGATGTCCCAGTCCGTCGATGCCCAAAAAGCACGGCAAAGGCATTCTGGTGCACAAAAACAAGAAGCCTCCTTCGGCCGGCAACCGGGTGAGCTTCGCTTGTTCGAGACCGACCACGGCGTCGTCGTCGTCGTCGTTGTCCACGTCGTCCGGCAGAAGGATCCGACCGTCGACGGCGACACCAGAACCAAACGTCAGTCCTCCCCCCAGAAGGGTCAGCTGTTTCGGAGTCAAGAGCCACCTGCACGAGTTCTACGATAGCCCAGACCACGCGCTACAGGTTAGATAAAATTCACATTTATTATACAATGTTACATGCCATTCTGCTTTGGTTTGACGAGAAACTCCCTTTCTTGACGGTCTCTCGATATTAGAGGTGAGAATTGACAAAAGACACAACCATACGGTATTTAAAGTTGTTTCGATAATCGATACAACGAATAATAGAATGAACATCACTGCCGTATTTAAATTACTTTTTTTTATTAAATAGACTGAACAACTATTGATGATTAAAAATATGCGTACACATTTCTTTAGATTTCAAAAGAAAGTACCTTAATGACTCAATTATATATCTTGTTTTAATTTGTGTAAAACTCGTTTTAATCTTTGCTTTTATAAATAATTATAGATCACGTACAGATATTTTTAAATCTGCCTTTAAGTCTTGGTTTAACAAATTGTTTTCAGTTTTTAACATTACTATTGCTTTCTTAAGGCGATATGAGCTAAAATGTATTATTTTTTGTGTTTAAGGTTTTCTTTTTTAATATTCCATTATTTTATTTCTTCAATATATATTAACACAAGTGTTGCTCTTGTTTTTTCTAGAATAGATTAATTTAGTTTTAAATATAACATTTTAATTTAAGATCTAAAATTTGTTTTTTTTAATTAAAGGGTGGTACTCACATATTTTGTATAAGTATGTAAAACTTTATGGTTTACAAACCACTAAAAACTTTTTAAACATAAACGGCTCGATTAATATAACAAAATACACATATGTGATACAGTTCTTAACTCCTACACACAATTTTTATAATATGTTTTCACCAATTCTTGTTTTGGGCCTAAATTAATTTTGTGTAAACTTCAATCTAAGAATCAAGCTATAATTTAGTGTACAATAAAAGCTTATATTGAATAGTATACCTCGTAAATGTAAGGTTAAAAATTATTGTTAAAAACAACAACAATGCATTTTCATGTGATTAAAAGTTATAAATCACAGTTTATTATTTAAAATACCGCATTAATACAAATATGTTAGTATTTTTTTAGTGGTTAATCGAATAAATTTTGAATTTTGCTCGTTAAAAGAAATAATTAAAAAATATAAACCTTTAGTATACCATTATACTGATTTGCATATTATTATACATTTTTAAGTCAGTAAAAGAATTTCAAATTGTCTTACTCACTTGTTATAGTGTATTTAATGGTTTAAAGTGATTTTCTTCTATCATAAAATTTGAAAGGTTTCTTGGATTTTCGGGCGTGAAAAAAATAAGGTTTTTATTATAATAAAATGTACAAAACATTATATTATAGGTTTTTAATTATTTAAATTAATGCTTCGACTATAAAATTCATTGACTCGTGTATAACTAAAGCAATTTATTTTTTCATCGTTAAAACGATAAAGTTCTCTAACGCTTGGTTTACTTTAGGGGTTGTCTAATTAATACTCAAGTTAACAACAGAAGTTAAATATTTTCGCCGTGAAGATTGCTTTTTAGTTGTTTGGTGTCAAATCGATAGCTTTTATGTAGGTAGCAGTTCAAGTAAATTTCGGTGTATTTTGATCTGGTGGAGATATTTTGTCGAGGAGAAATGGTGCAAGTTGAATAACGTCCTTATTGTAATGAAAATACTTTCTATTGCTGTTTTTCTTACTTGTTTTATGGTCGCCATGTTTGAGTTTATTATTGGTTGCTTTATCTGCACCAAAAATTGTCTCATCCGGTTCGAAAATGTCTTTTGTTATTGAATAATGTATACAATTTGTCGGAGAAAATTATACATTTTTTCAATTTAGTTCTGATTTAAAAATAAAAACACCACACATGTTATTAATCCATACTTGTTTATGTAAATTATGTACTTAAATTAAATATAAAAAAAATGTATTAAAAAAAAAAATTCAAAATATAACGTTTAATCATAAAGGAAAAGAAATGTAATTTTGTTAACTTGTTTGTTCCTCGAATGTAAAGCATAATTTGCCCATAATATCTTTGCACCAAGGACAACATTTTGCATATTACATTAATTTATGGAAAAGTTCATATTTAAGAATTTCATTAAAGTTCACTACTTCAAATATTCGAATAATTCACGACTGAATATTCCTAAACGGATTATAATAATTATTATGTAAATTTCAGAGCATTTATTAAAAAACCAGTAGGTACAGTGGGGATGGAACATATTTGGGCCAAGGAGGGACACCCTTTCGAATAAATGCTACGTCAGCTATGTTAGCTTCATTATATTGCTATAGCCAACAATGCCACTAAATTATTACAGAAAGACGATAAACTCGTATCCTCCCTAATGTTCAAAATATAATTTTAAGCACATTATAGCTTTTACCGTGCATTTATCGATTTTCGTATTTCCACCATCTACGTACTAACATCAAAGCGTTTATTTTAAAGGGATTCTATCACTCTTAATTATAATATTTCCTGTAGACCTGTATCCTCCTCCAATATCGTGTTCCACCCCTGTTATATTATGATTCAACCCCACTGCTGTCGTTGCTTTTGTTTAGTATTATACAGCTCATTGCAGCTATATAAGTTAAGGAAAATACACCTTTCTTTTAGCATCTGTGTACATTAGAGTGTCCCTTATTTTGGAAAAAACTGGAAATTTAGCTGGAAATCTCGATATTTTGACTCTGCACATGCGCTAAATGGCCGTCCAATTAACTTTTTAATTTTTCAAACATTTCGAAAAAGTCCAAAATAAGGGACACTCTAGTATACATACATATTACATTACGGGTTTTTTATAGAGTAAAAAAACTGACCTTAAAGCAAACGTTGTTATATGTATAAAATATTGTCTAAAACTATATTCGGCGTGTGTGTGTTATTTGTTATTCAACCTTGGAAGGTTGTGATCAATGAATGGCGGTAGTGGACGACGTCAGTTCTCACCTCTCCACACCCCTCGCGGTCGCCCTTTCCACCTCTCATCGGGTTTCAGTGTTTTATTAAAATATTTTCTCGACTTTCTATTTCTTTCCCATCACGTCCCCTGCCTCGGGGTGATATACATCATTATTACCGGTGTCGTCGTATATTTCTGGAACAGATTGACAATGAGAGGGGGAGGGAGGGGGCGAGGGCAATTCGATCGGTAAACGTGCTTTAAGATAAAACTCACGTTTGGAAATGATCATGGCGATTAATAGCGAAAACGTGTTGAGAATTTTGCACAATACACACACCGAAAGCGTACATAAATGCCTAAAGGGCCAAGTTTATCCGAGGTCTCCACAACCCCCCTCCCCCATTTAAAAGGGTTTCCTAGCTATAGCACTCAGACCGCCTTACATAACAATATAATATAATAATATCTATGTGATTTGGTGACTCCAAATATTCACCGGTTAAGTACGTTATAGTTGACTTACGCCCTACTTTTCAAAATGTATTATGTCTGAGCTTATATTGTACTACTTTCGTACCTGGCAAACATAAATATGTTTACACTTAGGAAAGCCAATGTATAAATATAATATGGTAACGTAATCGACAAAGTTTGTTGAAAACTCCATGCCATATAGCAGATTATTATGCTATATAATGTGAAATTATATTGTTGTCAGTCAATGTATTCTGAGATGTTTGGTATGTGGCGTGGGGTACCTGGTATAAGACTGTATGGATGAAAATTACTTTACTAGGAAAACAACAGTAGGAAATTGGATTTCATTCTAACAGACAAACAGTATACCCTTATTGTTTTTCAAAACATCAATCTCAAAAATCGTATTTTTTAAAACTAGCAAAACAACAAAGTAATTCAATATATATATATATCGTCTAAGCCACACACTATGCTGTTTTCGTTATATCCGTCAACAGATCATCATAATAAAACTTTGGTTAGTAAAATAAAATATATAGTTTATTTTAGGTTGTGTAGTTAGGTTGGGAAATCATGTTTTATACAAACAAAGTAAGACATTTTTTTTTTTGGAATTCATAACCAATAACTATATTATCTAAATCGAATTAAAAAACAGCAGAATGTGTGTCTAGAGTAAGAGCAAAATATGTTACAGTTTGTACAAGAAACGCCAACAATTAGAGGCCGCTAGCACAATTCATGTACCCTGCTGACATCTAGTGGTCAATTTGAACATTGATGCCATTACTGAAAAGTACATACCTATGCCCTTCTTCCAGACATCTATTCAATTGGTTCATCAAAACCGAAACAGATAATATAATTAAAAATACTTTAAACCCTAAACCTATGTAACTCTAACATCGGTTTTAAAAACCTAAACCTAAAAATAAATTTAAAAACCTGTTTTAAAGTCAAAATCAATGATATTAAAAATTGGTTGAATAACCAAAACTAAAACTGCTTAGGTTAGGCTAGTTATTCAATAAAAAAAAGAGTTTGAGTTAAAATCGGTTTGCAACATTTGGTTTTGAACCAATAAACAACGATAACCAGTTCCAATAATCAAATCCCATTTTCTCAAAACTGGGTTCAATAACCGAACTTTGAAAAACAATTGAGCGAAACCATTTACTATTTCGAGGCCTTTACAAAATGTAACCTTAGTTTTTTTTATTAAATAGAATTATGTGTTAATACATAATAATTTTATGTTTAAAAAAATATTTTAAATTCTCAATACGTTTATGTAAGTATTATAATATAATTATTTGATTGTTAATAATTAATTTTTAAAACATTTAGAGATATTAAAATATTTTTTTTTAAGTAAAATAAAAAAGACGAAATAACACCAAGGTGTCAAGTAAAATAGGAATACCAACAGAAAACGAGAAAACGCCAAAATTTAAATGATTTACCCTTGTTGGTACTTGGTGTAAATATTTTAGAAAAATCAGTAGGGCGTTTAGGCCATATTATCACTACCACCACCACCACCACCACTGATAAGCCATTATCAGTGATAATGGGGCTTATCTGTGATAACCTGCGGTAGTGGTGGAGGTAGTGATAACAGGTGGTGATACGGCCAAAACGCCCTACTACCGTCCAATATAGCGTACTGAACAAATGCTACATTTACCACATGCTTAGCTGAGGTTAATATTATTTTCTTACGACCATGTCCGCAGGATGACGATTTCCGGTACCTGGTGGAACCGAGGTCGCGATGCTCGCAACACTGCTGCAGCGTGTCCGCTCTGTTCGGGCTGGCCGTCATGTCCGTGGGCGCTGTCACGTTGGCCGCGGGCCACCTGATACCGGCCAAGGACCCGATAGTGGGCCGGTCGGCCAACTTGGAGGTGGTGGACCGTTGGGCCGTCACTTACAATCAAAACCTGGTGGCCTGTCGGTATGCCGGCGCCGTGGTGTTCGGCATCGGTGTCGTGTTCACCGTCATCCGGCTGTGGGTGTCGCTGATCAGGAGCAGCAACCAAGAGCATTGGATAGCCGAACAAAAACTGGGAGTCAAAAACGACGGCGTGGCCAAGCAAAACAAGCAGCAGCAGCAACCGCAAACTGTTCGCATACCGATAACCGGGTTGGTGCAGGGTGTGCAGCCCAAGGCCAACGTTGCTGCTTTTGGCGATGGCAGATGAGAATAATGGCCGAATGCGCACCGTTTATGAGCGCGTCGCAACAGAGTGACTCGACTCTGTCCGACCGCGCGTTTTCCGAGCTTCAAACGAGATTGTGTTATATTATATTGTTGTAAATATACCTAACCGCATTATTGCCACAGATTGGATAAAACCAGACGGGGCACTTCGTCATTTGCCGGTAACTGAAATCTCCAAAAAGACACCAGCGGCTACTCCGAGCTGTGAGAGGTTGAGAGAGGTTGTTTACATGTTCAAGCAATTACATCGTTTGGAAGTGCACCATCTGGTTTTGTCTAATCTGCGCTATAATACTGTTGACTAAATCGCATGTTAATTTATAGGAAAAAAATGTATTGCCGTCCAGTCTAAATGAGTTTGAGCTAATTAAAATATGTATGTAATAAAATCTACAACGGTTTACGAAGGACGAACTATGATCAGGGGTGCAGAGTTTGAATTACTTAAATCAAATACAAAATGAATTACATTTATTTTGTGTAACTCCTAATTAGGTATTATCAAAGACATAAAATGGAAATATAAAATTGACGAAAAATACATAAACCATCCGAAATCTATTACAGAGACATTTCTGGTTTTTAATGCGAAGGGGAGGGGAGAAAGCTGATATTTATAATATTATAAATTTTACACTGTAAACACAATTTTAGAACCGAAATAATAAATGCACACGTTTTTGCAGGTTTAATAATGGTTTAAATACTACTTTAAAAACCAGAGTTTTCGCATTTCATTTAACTTTAAAGATACGAAAAAGTTTATTTTCCCCATTTATTATTAATTCAACCGTAAAGCTTACAATGGATGTAGTTAGAAAATAGAAAACGCATTATTTACTGTGTGCAAGAGACACTCAGTAATTTACTCCATACCAAAGAACCTATTAGTTGAGCTAACAAATACTTATCGACTGCCTAAGTTCTATCCATTATAAACCGTTTAAGTGTAAAGTAATAAACTAAGTTCGAAGCTAATGTAAAGCTATAAAAGTATGTTAAGAACTTAAATGTAGCATACAAAAAAATGTTTATAGTTTTTGTTTATTATTGTAATTTATAGCCAGTGTTTTTGTTTATAACGTTTCATAATCAAAGTAAAACAAAAATATTGTAAAACAGACATTATATATATATTTAGTAATCAAAGCTACTCATTTTTTTTTATATTAATTAAAAAATTAACATAATTGTAACGTACAAACATTGATGTAACAGCCTTTTGTGTCATTTAAATGAAAATGTTTCGATCTTTTTATTTAATGATATTTTAATTTTAGGCACAATAAAAAAATAACTCATGTAAAACGAAAAAAAGATTGACAGACATATTTTTGTTAAACAATGTTATTTCTAAATATTCAATATTGTAATTGTTATTATCTAATCTAACCACGTACGAGATAAATATATATTATATTTATAATATTACAGTGTATAATAATAATTAAATGTGTGTAAATATAATATATTTTAAATGCACTAAAATATAGAATGTTGTTAAAATGTGATTGGGAATGAAAACAAAAATATTTTTTAGTTGTTAAAATATTATCTGGCTGTGGTTATAATTTAAAACGTATAAAAAATTTTAAGTTTATTTTAAAACTTTATTTTTGACGTAACAAAATGTATAATATATCCTCAAAAATAAAATTGAAAAATATTTTTTTATCTTTTATATTTACATTCTATAAATGTTATATTTTATTGCATTTGTGTGGCTGATACACATTTCGTTTTTTATATTCATGTGGGTTTTGTTATGATATCGGGATAAAAAATATATATAGTATAAAAAATAATTTCGACGGTACTCGTCATCAGTATTGTTATACTCATGAAAATAAAACCTCGTTATACTATTATTTTAACGTGCATCGAAGTAATAATTAAAACTAATCAATATAGTATCCTACGCATAATTCTAATTATATAATTGTAACGTACAAACATTTGATGTAACAGCCTTTTGTGTCATTTAAATGAAAATGTTTCGATCTTTTTATTTAAACATAATAATTATATATATATATAATATATATATATATATATATATATATATATATATATATATATATACATATATTTACTTTGCATTACCGACGTTATTGTTACTATATACTATAAGCAAACCTTAAGCAATAAATAATTTATGATTACATTATATTATTTATGTCTTCATAATTATATCCATTCAGTTGTACAATTATTGTTCCTATAAATAAACATATTATATATTATTATACACTTTGTTATTTTTATTTTTTTAATTGAAATCAATATTTTCTCACCAACCTTAATGCAATAATTATTAGTGGTGTAAGCTGAACGTTTTTTTAAATTATCATATGAAACTAATACAAAAATAATTCCCAAATTCTGTTCTATGAAGCCAAAATTTGTGATAAGTGAAACATTTATTATTTTATGTTAAGGACGGGTAAAGTTTGATTTATTTTCTGAATTAAAAAAAAAATCCAAAATTTATAATAAAATGTTAAAAATTGGAACAAGAGAAAATATATGGGAAAAAAAATAGTTTTGTCAAATTTAAAATGTATTCATTTTCACAATAAGCTGACAAAATAATACTATGATGTATCAAACAACAGATTGAATAAAAATTAATAACTTTATCAAACATATTCAGTTTTGTGAATGGAATTAATATTGAAAGTCCAAAGATTGTAGAAAGAAAATGAATTGTACTCTAAAATATACCTAACGAATATTGGATTTGTGGTTAAATTGATCACAATTAAACGGTGAGGTATATTAGACCTATGTTTTACTGTAAAAGCATTCATGACATCACTTCCTAACCGGCTAACTATAATATTATTTGACTGATTTGCGTTAGAATTGTATTTATTGAACCTACAAAATATGATTAATGTGTACTTACACTAGTACAATATAATTGTTTTACTGATACAAATGGGCCGTCACACATTCACACACAATATTATTATGTTAACATTACAATGGTAACAGCTATATAATATAACTTGTTACTCGAAATAATATCAGGTACAGATGGTATTGAAAACGACACAAGGTTGGGTTCATGCAACCGGACATTGAGAGTTGTTGTTGCGTTGTAAACGAGATAATATATATATATATTTTTTTTTTAAATCTTAGGTAAACTTAAAAATTATGTTAATTATGGGTGGGATGGGCTTAATCATCTGACTATGTAGGCCGATGTCGCCATAAGACATGGCCATGATCCAGTGTCTTTCTTTTAATAGGACGCCACACCGGCCATTTCTAAGGAATAAAGTATAGGCAATTTTTGGAAAAATCTTAATTTAGAGTTTGAACTATAATGCATACTTATTAATACAGTAATGAGGACTCTTTGTTGATTGCCGTTTTTTTTGTCAGACCATCACAGTCATTTCTATAGGATAAATTACAATTTTTTCCCTTCAAAACTGGTTTGCGCGAATTATTTTTTCCCAGACTTTATGTATAGTTAAGGAAAGAAATTCATACATATTATTTATGACAAAATTATCTGTGTTCCATCCTTCGTATTTTTTCGATATACCTAATACAACCAACGCTATATCATTTTTAAAAATGTCAAAAAATTCCTTCCTTAATTAATTAATTGTTTATTAACTGGTTGAAATATTTAAAAAAAGTGGTAAATCACCTGAAATATAAAAACAAAATTACTTAAATATATTTTTCTATCACAATGCATTATGTATAATTTACGTATATTAATTTTGATCCAAAAGCGTTAAATTTTATTATAGCCACAAGTTATGTTTTTTAAATAATATTATAACAGTATAAACACAATGTATAATATTACAAATGAACACATAATTTTATTTATAACTACAGTAATTTTTATCAGCGGAAACACAAAAAATAATTTTGTATTTATTTATTTCTTAACAGTACCTAACAAACAATACTAAATTTGTCATTTTCAATTTCCTATTAAGGTAATATGGGTTAACAATTGTCTACTTCAATATTGTTTTAAATGTAGGTTAAGTCATTTGAAACTGCTATTACATTATCGAAAAACAAAAAAATAATAACTGATATCAGATTCATAATTAATGTTGAATGCAGCAAATCGATGTTATTTCGCAATGGACACCCTATTTAAATCAAAAACGATATCAAAAAATGTCAAAGAAAAACTTTATGTAAGCTACATAAGACCGGTACAAACGTTTGCATGTGCCACGTGGGTCACAACTAAAGGTGATGAAGAAAAACTAAGTAGATTTGAAAGGAAAATCTTAAGAAGAATACATGGTCCAGTACCATTTAATACCGAAACCCAACAATGGGAATTAAGATCCAATGCACAACTGGGAAACCTATACAAAAGAGAAAATATTGTACAATTTGTTAAAAGTATAAGAATGCAATGGGCCGGACATGCGTGGCGAGCGGACGGATGCCTGATAAAAAAAATAATGACTTGGACATTAGCGGGGAGGAGACCAAGGGGAAGACCACGAAGAAAATGGATAGACAGCATAAATGAGATATGGAATGCGGTAGCCCAAGAAGTTGGAACGGATTGGCAAGTTATAACGCAAGATAGATAGAAATGGTAGGAGGTAGTTTTGGCGGTAAAGATCCTCAATGGATCGTGAAAAAAAAATCAGGTTAATAAATAAAAATAGAGCAATTTAATTTTAAACTTACCTCCATCAACACCTATAACATGAAAAAAAAATTTGTATAACATAAATTAATTAATAAAGATAAAAAGTTTTCAAAAAAAAACCATCAGATGGTTAGGTTCATTAGTATTCGAAGCGTGAACTTGACACGCACAATAAACTTAAAAACCATAGGCAACTTGTTTTCTTCTTTACTTTTTTATCATGTCCTTTGCGCATGTAACACATGTGTATAAATATTAAATATGTTTTACCTATACAATGATTTGTTATTCTGGATTTTTTCATCGGTGCAGAGTATATAGCAATACTGTATTTTTCTATCAATCTAACGCAAGGCATTTGTTTTACGACGAGCTGTTTTTCTTTTGTATGTTTACCACCTAGTCAAAATCGTAACGACTCAAGTGTTTGTGTACCTACTAGTGTGCTCTGAAATCAAACCTCAACTACGAAATTTACAGTTTTTAAAACTTCATATTTAGGTTATAGCAAACCTGGGGATTATTTAAAAACAAATTATTCAACACAATTTTAAATAATTTTTAAAAAAAAGATTAAGATAATAATAATATTTTAACGAATATCCAAATAGTAATTTCATATGAATTTCTATTCGAACACATTTAAAATAGGAAAAAAAATGTTTAAAAGCTGTTTAAATCAATTTATAAAAATTAACTTAAAATAATTTTTATTATTATTGTTATTCGATTGTTGTAAAAATTATAGTCAGATTTTTTTTGCTTTATTCTTATTTTATGTAAAATAATCGGAATTTAATATTGAAAAAATAGAAATTTAATTTATTTAATTACAAGAAACTGAAATTTTTAAATGAAATCGGGCTTCCTGCATAACATAGTAAACTAGCCAACGAACTTGAATCTCTTTACAGAATTGAAATTAGACCATAAAATAACACCAAATGGCTTCTACGCATAAAAAAAATTATTAAATATTAATTATATAATTAATAATTATACCTACTGTGTCTCTTATACAAATAAATTATAGCACATGCATAATTCGGTGAACCACGTATACCTGGTTTGGAACTAGGTTGCAAATGTTTTCAAATTGGTTGCTAAATATTAACAAAGATCCGGAGTTAATCGGACAAAGTGGGGGGGGGGCGACTTCACGTACGCCGGGGGCTCTGTGAATTTACTTATCGTTACTTGTAATGTTTTCATTTTTATAACTGACAAAATAATATTAAAATCGGTTAAAAAGAATCAGTTGAGACGATATTTAAAAAAAAAAGTGAAAACTAAATGAACAATATTATACGAATATAATTTGTATTTTTCATAAATTATTTTATTTTTTTGTTTTTGGTCTGAGAACGGTTTGTTGATTCGGATTTATAATTAAAACTTAAAACGAATAACTATTTGCCGGTTCTCATATTTCCTTATTATTAATTACTGACAAAGAGTAGAACACCTGGTGCCTTATTTTAAGTTATATACTCATAAAATACATAAGTCGATAGCTTGAATGATTATTTTAATGAAAAGAGCAAGTTATTATTCAACTTTCAGTGAAAAACTTATTAACGCTTCGAAAAAAACAAGCTATTCATTTACAGTTATAGTTACATTTCAAGGCACAACGACTCTCTTCCCCTGTGGCTAATAACCTCACATATAACCAGTATCAGCCATAGCGGACTAGGTTGAACTAGTCGATGAACTTTATCTTTCCCAAACGATGGATGTTTTTGGGTTTGTTAAAGACCGCCACAGCTCTAGCAGCCATATTAGTAACCTTATAATAGGTCAAGGGAGATCACACCGGCTCTGCAAAGCGGTAATGCGACTTAGTCATGATATAATGTTTAACTATCATAACAACAACAAAACCGGACATAATAAAGAGCCGTGGTGTGGGAAGGGCCCCCCTTGTAGTGGATACTTAGCTGTTGGATCTTTTGTATGTCCATCAGACATAATTAAACGCATGCAATTTTCACGGTACTAATATTGTAATTATTGTACGATGTCGGCAACGGTATTAATTAATTTCGGTCGCCGTCGGCATCAAAAGAGACTTTTGATAATAATAAAATGATATTTCTATACTATTATTATTATATACATCAACGCGTACTATCGACGTTTGTTCGTCTGCGTCAGCCTTTCAAAGCTGAACCGTCTCGACCAGTCCTCGTCTTACTTCCAAGTTTTTATATTATGTCTATATACACATTTTATTTCATACACAATGTTCGGGAAATATCATTATGATTGGCCTAAGAAGTGTTTTTACAGCCGAGTTAATAAACACCATGCCGGGCCGTCTTCCTTTATGCGTTGCTCACGG